AAAATAGTAAAGAACTTAAGTTTGGGTTGAAAAGAAGAATTCAGGTATACCAGCGCTGGGGTAGGAATATTTTCTTTGGGGCTGGTTACCACGTTGGTTTTGCTGTTGATCTGTAGGTATGCAGAAAATAGAAACAGACAAGCCTTAAACCTCCTGGTAAGCCAATAGATATAGAGATCTATAACACAGCATGTCTATATCGAAAATAGACATGGAGATCAAGAGCAACTCAAGATGAAGTCATGAACTTGAAAGAAAGAAACCATGATGGCCGGCAGGTTTGACGATCAGTTCTAGTCTCTGGTACCCATCGTCTAGTTATAGTATTTGTGATGGCTGCATTATAAATCAGGCCTTGGCTGCTTCAGTGAGACGCTGGGATGCCACGTTAGTAACCAGGCAGAGGGGCTGCTTCTAAAAGGGAACTCGAATTAATTCAATGCCCATATAAGCGTTTTCAAACTCTCTGAGTTAGGTTTCCCAGGTTTCAGTTGGGCACCCGAATGAAGAGTTCTTCAATTCTCTTTATTCTTGGGCCTGAAGTCAAAAGCAAAATACAGAAGAGATTTTCTCTGGTGAGTCACCATCTGTTTGTTTGCTCTGTGGATAATCCGATTAGGAATTTAAGCTTTTGGTTGAAGTGTGGGCTTTGTCACACCTTAAAAACTGTTGAAGATGAGTTTGCTGCAAGAATAAATTTTCATTTTAAATGGGCATGTCAAAGAGCTAAACTTAGATAACCATCCCTTTTTAAGGCTATTCTGGATATAAAGAGAATTTTTTGTACTGTTGCTCAAAAGGAAACAACATGAATCATTTGTTATAGTACCCTTACTATGGTTAACCACTACTTTCCAACATTCTCTCAGCATCTCCCTATAGCCAATCAGTTTGGCTGTACATCACTCCCAGTGTGTAAGTTACCAAATTATGATTCAAGCAATTGAAACAAGACAGTGACAACTGCAATGGTCCCTGCAATGGAGAAAGGAAACCAGTGAGGTATAAACTTATTATTGCACGGGGTGTGAATTGGGCTGGGCTGAGGTGGATGGGTACTGAAATTGCAGTGCAAAATATTAAATTGTTAATACTTTGAAATTCATAGATTTACCAACTAGTGAACACAGATAGAAACTGACATGTTGTTAGGACTCTGGCCTCTCAGTATTTTCATTAATTATTATGAAAAAATAAACAAAGCAATATATCACCTAAAGAAATGCCAAAATATGTTACAAAGAATCACATGTGGCGGCTTAAAGGGAATAGTTTCAAACATTAGGGTCAAATAAAACAGGTAAAGACCAAACAAGCAACGTAATCTGATTGGTTTCTTTATGCTGCTTTTTGCACAAATTCTTTTTTAAACTGCCACTTACTTACCAATGGCAGAAGAGGTCAGAAAATGACAAAATTAATTTATGAATGATGACATTTTACTATTCTATACTGTGTTGCATTAATACACACTGTGTGATTGGAAGTATATTGTTGTGCGTGTGTGTGTCTTTTTAACAAGATTTAGCAGTGAGTTCGGTGACATGCAAGTAAAGGAAGAAAGACAAAATTCTGGTAGTGTTACTAGGAACCCTTCTGTGTTTTAGGTCATAAGTGAAAATTTTACTGCAGCTTTTGGCTAAATTTTTATGTAACTGACATTTTGGGGTCAACATACATAAAACTCAACATATCAATTTGTGCTCTGGCATAAAAGAATTTAAAAAGAGACACTTTAGGCTATTAATAGGGGAGCAAAATACAGGATTTAAGTTAGTACAGAAAAAAAGGGAAAAGTGCATTTCCTATTTAGGAAAAATAACTATAATTTAGGAAAAATATAGTTGTCTTTTAATCAAATATTGGAGTTTCTTAGGATGAGAGCAGGACAAATAGTCACTAAGTTGTGGATATGATTCTCATGTCACTGAAAAATGAACAGAATCTAAATAAATATTTTTGAGTTGATTTAATATCTATTTTGAGGCAGAGGATGACTAATATTTCTTCTTGGAGTTAGGTAGCCAAATAGCCCCATTCTAGCCAAAATGGCTCTCTCAGAACACACCTACATACACACACACACACACATATATATATAGATATAGATATATAGATATATAACTAGTCATTTTCTTGAGAATGAAAAATTAGGCCTTTCTATTTTGCTGAGGCATCCTCGCAATTTTAAAAAATCATGTGTTAAGTGAGGGAGCCTTGATCTTCATTATCAGTAATGTTTAAATGTACTTGAATTAAAATTTTTTTTTCTAAAACAAAAAAGTAAAGGCTGGCCATAAAAAATTAAATGTAGCCATAGTTGCTATCAAAATATAAAATACTCTTGCTTTAGAAAATAAAAATACTGATTGTGTATAAAACTGAAGTTCAAATGAACAGAGAGAGGGACCCAGACTATGATTCTATTGATAGAAGGCACTCCCACATGAGAAGCTTCCCTTTACCAATGCAAGTCAGCACGTATGCTGCAATTTATTGTCTTTGAGAGCTGACTGGCACAGAGAGATGAAGTCACTTGCCCAAGGTCTCACAGACAGAAAGCATTGGAAATAGGTCTGTCTGGTTCCAAGACCAAGTCTCTATCTACTACACCAGTTTGCCACTCAATAGAACTAAAAAAAGGTAAGATCAAAAAAGAAAAAAAAGCCACCAATTTTACATGTGATCAGCATTTCTTTTATATTGGAAAAGCCAGCATTTTTGTTTTTATCAGTTTCTTTTTAAAACATGAATCTAGTGCTTAAATAATAATGGGAATTGTATAAAGAAGGAATATTGATTTTTTTTGCCATGATTTAACATTAATATCCTTTTTTTTTTTTTTTGGAGATATTTGGAATTAAGTGACTTGCCCAGGGTCACACAGTAAGTGTCTGAGGCTGGATTTGAACTCAGGTCATCCTGATTCCAGGGCTGGTGCTCTAGCTGCCCCAACATTAATATTTAAAATCCAGGAACAATTCCACTAGCGAAGCTTAACCAGATTTTAACTCTTACTTGGACCTATTGTAAATAGGTTGTAAATGTCAAAACATAGATACAACTAATGTAATATAAAGATACTAAGGCCATGTCTTATGTGGTAAATAAGGTAGAGATTGAGATGAGGCTGGTTTTCTTTAGTTTTGTTTAGTTATTTTTTTCATAACCATGAACCCTATCAATTAAATTGATTATTATGTGATCTGCACTAATTGGATAACAGTTGAAACAAGAAGATTAACTCTACTGCAGTCTGTTCATTCTGACCAATAGAGATCTGGGCTCAGTCTAACCTAGGAAAAAATCCTTTCAACATGAAGAAAAACAGGGGATGAAAGGAATTCATTGAATGTGACAACATTTCTGCCCTTGGTGGTTGATGTTTTTAAAGTTTTGGTTTAAAGAAAGGGGGAAAAAAGTATTCTTCTACTGTGGAGGGGAGTAGTGCTTGTTGGTGATAGGAATCAACACTGTATTTTAAGAGACCTGTCACTTATACTAAGATGTCAATATTTTATTTCTAAAGTGTGAATGTTTCACAGGAGGAAAAGTCTGGCAGATAAAGGTCCTCACCATCATCTGAACACTCGAACTGGACTTCCTTTTCTGAATTGACCAGTCAAGGAGAAAGGAAAAGAAGAAAATGTGACCGGTTGAATTTGAAGTTTCAACGCATTGAGTATACAAATAGCTTTGTCTTTAGAAAGAAGATCTGCGCTGCGTGGGGTGGGGATGTTTGGTGCGGAATACTTCAGGAAATGTTCATTCTACACGGGTAAGCCCTCCCAGCAGTCATGTAACCCCTGCTTCACAAAACTGTACAGAAGAATTTCATGGGACAGCTAAAACCCTTATTAGACTTTAAATAGCATATGTCACATTGGAAACTTCAGATGACAACTGTCATTATTAAAATATAAATTTAAAACATAGGATATGATTACAGGTTAGTGAGAACAATCCTTGATCCAATGGCAAATCTTACCCTGACAAAAAATAGAAAGATTACTGTAACCAAAGTCCTTAAAATGTCCAAATTAAGCATAGACAGGTGATGCATAATTAAACCTGTGCAATCCAATTATATTATAAATAAATCAGTCTCTGTGTTGTAGCTAGAATATAAACTGACCACCATTTGACTTTGGCAACTGTGCAAATGGTAGAATACTAACTTAAAATCAAAAGTCTGAAAATTTAGATGGTGAAATGTTTTTCATCTGGATGGTTGACTAAGAAAAGGGCTAAACTATTAAGAAAACAAATATTTAAGTTGTATTCTATTAAAAAAAAGCTGAAATGCAATGATAAAGTTAGAGTTTGGTAAAAAGTAAATTATTATGAAACCAGGTAAAACCTGAAGAAACAGGTATAAAACATTATTGATTGGAATTCCATTTGTTTTCTAGGAATCCCTAGAGAAAAGGAAACCAAAAAATTGTGTGCAGTTAACTGGCTTCTTGGCTGATTTTCAAAACATTTACTCGAGGCATTCACCTTGGAAAGGGCCCAAGTCCTTGAGACTGGAGAAGACTGACAACCAGACTTTATGAAAACTCTCTGCTAGTAAAACCTAAACGATTCTGATTTTTCAGCCCTTCCTCCCAGATTATTTAGATCCACTTCAACTGACAAGGAATACACATTATTGTGTCTTTCACCAGGATTATCAGTTCATTGTGGTAATTAAGATCAGCAGTGAAGCAAGACAGGATTTAAACACCCAGTTCTCTGATTTCACATAATGGCCAGGTCGAAAATATTTGTAATGAAATCAGTTAGTCAAGGCATAATTTTTCTTCTTATTTCTCTAAAAGGGCAAATTATCTCACCTTCATAGGCTTAATTATTTAGAATCTAAAGTTATATACTTCCAGAATCATACCAAAAAAAAAAATCAAACCCTACAAAGATGAAGAATTGATATTTGACATTTGAAAAGAAAAAAAAAAATAACAGAGAGCCTGAAATATTTTGAGAGCATCTGTTACACTTACCTTTACTCCATCTGCTTTCTTCAACAAACTCTTGGCTGCTGTAAAATGAAGGTGAATTCAACTTCAGTGAGCTATCTAACCAATCATATAAACACCTGCCCGCTGGCTACCATGTATAATTATCAATTGCACGTTGGGAAGCAACTGCTTACAAGAGAAATAAATGCAGCATCCCTATTCCTGATTTTGCCACTTGGAATTTAGAACTGAATTCTCATTTTTAACTGGTTTGGTACTATCAGAAAAGTTTCTCATTTATTTTGTTACCCTTAGAAGCTGGGTTTTATTTGATTTCCTTTTTTGTTTGTTTTGTTTTTGTTTGTGAGAAGGATACTGGATATTATAGTGGGACCATAGTACAGTAATCCAGAAAGTTGATTTGATTCTTCAGACACTACGGAGACAGTGTTTTAAGTACTTATTCACACCTCTAGAAGAACAGTGACCATATCAGGACCATCATTACAGAGTCCTCTTTCCAGAGATTTAAGATTCTTTGTAAAAATTTGCTCTGGGCAAAACATTACATTTTTTTTTTCATCTCAATTTATACCTTTAAAACAGTGACAGGATTTCTTAACGCCCTCCTACTGCAACCACCCACCCTCAAGCTTTTACAATGTCCTAGAAATCACATTTAAAAAGAACGGATATTTTACAATTATTGTGCCAGAGCAAATTATTTTAAAATCACAATATATGTTGTTCTTTTTCTAAAATTGTCTCATTTTTTTTAAAGTTTAGGGTGAAACGAAAAGCAAATCCTTGAATACTTTCAGGGATATCTCGCATTCATAATGGGAAGGAAAAAGCATTTTATTTTTAGAACACATAGGCTTCAAATGAATAAAAATCCTTTTACATGATACTTTAAAGAACAATAACAACAACAACAGCGACAACAACCAGGAGACAAAGTATAAGATGTGATAAAATCATAATGTAAGCCAACTAGGACAGAGAAATTCAAATGTACAGGACATTCTCAGCAGCTTCCCTCCTGTTGTAGGGACATTCTACCACTAAAGGGGCAGTCACCCAAAACTGTGCTTACCCCCTAAGTGACAAACACTTAGATTACTAATACATGGAGTCAAAATAGTCACAAATATATTGTCATAAGCAGCGATGGTGATCTCAGTTGGTAGCAGCCCCATATGAGAAGCTGAAAAGTGAATTTAACCTTTAGAATGTAATATTTGGAAAAAATAAAGCTTCCTGAATATATGAATTTGAAAGATGAATTACTCAGCTTTATGTTGGTGTGTGCCATAATCTCACTGCCCCTTTGGTATATGTATAAAAGATACCTCCAAGTGTTCATTTCCTATTTGTATATAGTTTTAATCCTCAACAATTCCATTAATTTTTTTAAAAAATTAAACCAACAATAAAACAGTGAATGACTGTGATTGTCTAGAGCTGAAAAAACGATTGTTACAGAAACCCAGAGGCAGTTAAATTAGGAAAGCAAACTTAGAATTGCAAGAGCAAGCAGAAAGAAGACAATGGTTTGGGGTGAGCAGGGGTTTGGCCTGGGAAATGCAGAGATGTCCCTTTCAGTTACTATGGACCTTACCTCACAAGAAACATATTCCACATAAAGGAAGAAAAGAAAAAAAAAACACTTTATAACCATATACTTATGGACAAATTACTTTAAAGAACAAGTATTGCAGTGAAACAGAATTTTTGCAATGAAACAGAATTACTTGGAAATAAAAATGTATCATCAAGTGCAGGATGTTACAACTGACTGCTATGCTAACTTGTGGATTTGGGAATGATGGATGATGAGAAATTCAGAAATAATATAAAACCTCTATATTAGTTATGATTTGTATTAGTGTAGTAGGGCATAAGGGATGTGACAGGAAGAAAAACAATACTATATGTGGGTGCACAGATGTGCCTATGAAATCACTCCTTAATAAAACATATAATATTCATGGTAAAGATGTATATTTAAAAAAATATTTATTCATCACAATTTCCTCTCTAAAGCACCATAAAATGTAGCAAGCTAGTATATCACAATATAATATTAGCCTATTTTGCAATTTATTATAATATTTATTGTATAACTTTTTGAAAATGAGACAATTGAACTCACCCACATAAATGTCAATTATGTTAAATACCTGTATACAAAATGGGGAACCCAACAGAGGCAGCAACATGGATTTAAAACACCAAAATTAAAAGGACAAAATACATACAACAGACCAACTCAGTTGCCTTGTTCATTGGGGTGTTTGTTATTTAATTGTTTATCATTTGAAACAATGTTGAAAACCTCTCTGGAGGAAGCCTTTGGAAGGTTTTGATACACATACATTTATTTATAATTAGAAAAGCAAGGGAAAGGGAAATGATTTTGGTATTTGTTCTACCACCATTTTCTTTTTTTGGTAAAATTTTAATCAAGAAAGCAGACTGACAAAGCGGGAGAGGAAATTTTAATCCTTCATAACTAATAATCAGAAGGACACAACAAAAAATGAAAAAAAATCTTATACTCTTATTTCAAAAGTCAGTCTAGGAAAACATTACACAAAGGGGAAAAAAGAGAACTGAGGAAATTATCTGGATAAGTTAAGCTACAGACTTTTTTTTCCCCCTAAAGTATAAAATAGCTTGGTTCTAATAATCTAGATGAGTCAAGACAAGTCAACGAGCATTTATGAAGTTCTCATTGTGTCTAAGGTATTCTGAGAACTGCCCCAAACCTGAGGACCTGAGCTACTTCTCAAGGGCAAGTTACACATGTGTATGTGTTTGTGTCTATGTGCGGATACACATAAATACATACATGTACATATGCACACATGCACACACCTATATGTGTTACATGAACTCTTTCAAGATACCAAGACACAATTAAAAATTCTGCAAAGATTAACTGTCCCTTTGAAAATGCTTAGGCATATGAAAACACACCTCTCAATAGTAATTTCCATTTTGTGCCCTGCCCTAGGTATGAACACCAAGCATCTTATTCTTAATTACTTGGCATTTCAGAGTGATGTCCTGAAACACAATTATTCCTGATAAGGATATAGTTTGGTTTATCATATCTGGTACACTGACTGTACTACAATGGAATAAGTCTTTTTGACCTATGGTATGATTAAAGTAATCATATTAATTATTACACGACTTAAAATCCAAAATATGACACTCGAAGAAGCCATGGTGTTTAGAAGAAAGTCAGGTCACACACACACATACCTGAAAAATTTCTTGTAGCCAGCATGGTTGTGAGAATGGCACCCTGTTAAGGAAGTAAGCATGCGTAGTTAAGGTTTGCATCTGCAGATACATCTCTGACCTCATACAGCCAAACACGGACAACTTCTCCAGTGTCAAAAAGGCATTCAAGTCAAGACTTTCCTAATTTTATATTTGCTTGGGCTTTTATCCTGAAAGTCATGCATATAGGTCCCTCACAATGTCCTTATATGTGTTTCCGGATGATCATGGGACATAGCTGTTCTTAAAAGATGGAATAGACTTTGAAGTGGATACACTGATCCAACCAGCTCTTCTCTCTCCCTCTCCCTTTCTCTCTCTCTCTCTCTGTCTCTCTCTGTCTCTCTCTCTGTCTCTCTGTGTCTCTCTATCTCTCTCTGTCTCTGTCTCTCTCTTTGTCTCTCTCTATCTCTGTCTCTGTATCTCTCTCTGTCTTTCTCTGTCTCTCTGTCTCTCTATCTCTCTCTGTCTCTCTCTGTCTCTCTCTCTCTATGTCTCTCTGTTTCTCTCTCTCTCTCTCACACACACACACACACACACACACAAAACATCAAATGGACATTCCATTTGCTCATGATCCAGGAGAAGGGAAAACAGTGATACGAATTTCTATTCTTCACCAAGTGACATCCATCTGTCATAAAATATTTCCAGGAACATGTTTCCTTCACTGAAATGGGTGTCCTTCACAGTTGCTACTCTATTAAATGTACCTGGAGAAAAGTGTCTTCCCTCAAAAATTCTAGTTTTCTTACCTTCAGCTTTCTTCTTGCATTGAATTTCTTCAAGCAATCTACAGTTTCCTGTCTGTGCATCATAGAAGCAACAGTAGAACGTTGCTGGAAAAAAAAATTAAAATTATTTTAACTTTATGTGATATATGACATGTTGTAGTATTCTTTTCATATTACTAAATTCACATAAATGGTCTCTTCACCCATGCTATCAACTTAACAGAATCTAACTATAAGTTAGTTAATTATTATTTAAAAAACTCTCATCAACAAAACTATTAATTTGCATCCTAATATTATTATGATTATTATTTTTCTATGTCTACAGTATAGTTTTTATATTTTACAAAGTATAAACTATTTTACAAAGTATAAACATTTATAGTAAAAACATCAAAAAAGGTTTTTCAGCCAAACATGAAGTCTTAGGCTTAAAATTCCTGCTGCTAGAGGAATCTGAGGCTGATGGATCTCTTAAGGTTGGAAGTTCTGAGCCGCAGTGGGTAAGAGATGCCCTGGAGTCCACAGTAAGTCCTGAACCCTCGAGAACAGGGGACCACCAGGCTGTCTACTGAGGAAAGAAGCTGCTCAGATCAGAAAACAGAGAATGTCAAAGCTCCCAGACTGATCAGCAATAGGATCTGGAATGAGAGTGGTCACTATAGTCGCTACACTCAGAACTTGGGCAAGAAAGAGACCCAGTCTCTAAATACACAAACAAATGATAAAGGGATAATAATAGTGAGCATTTATATAGCACTGTAAGGTTTACAAAGCTATATGTTAACTTACTTGACCGTCACAACAACCCTGTAAATTAAATGACATTATCATCTCCATTTTACATAAGAGTAAACTGAGGTACAGAGCGGTTAAGTAACTTGGCCAGGGTCACACGACTAATGTCAGAGGCAGGATTCGAACTCAGGTCTTCCTGACTCCAGGTCATGCACTCTATCCACTAGACCAACTAACTACCTAGGTTGATAGATAAAGAGACAAGCAAATGAATAAAACCAACAAAATAAAGGGGGAAAAAAAAACCCAAAACCTTTCCTGAATTATGCTCTAATCCCAATTTCATCCTTAACTTCAATCAGCACTCCATTCTATCTAATAACCTCTGTTATATCTACAGACACTTGGAACCTACTTATGACAAGGGCAATTTCTGAAAATATATTCAAGCCTCTCTGTGCTTTCCTATCAGATTTTTTTTTTACTTTCTCTATTTTTAAATTACTGTACCTTATAAAAAACACCGCAAAGTTTATACTTAGTCCAAAGTTCAAAATGCATATGTGATTAATGGAAGATATTGGTTGGTACCTGAACTAACTTATTTTATTCTTGACTTCAAGTTATACTTTTAAACCCTGGTGTCACCTTCTTTATCATCATCATTATCCATCAGCATTAGTATTATTTCATTTGTTCCTCACCTTATCACAAAATAATTCAGAATGGGAAAACCCATATTCACAAGTACCCAGCATATAAATTTATTTGACAATTTCTGTTAATACCTTGACTGGAATTACTTACTTACCCACTGTTTTTTTTTTAGATGTTTTTGTTTATTATAGCTACAGTTATTAAATACTATTAGCAAATCACTTAACCTATCTGGACCTCAATTTCTTTATTCATAAAATGAAGACATTTTATCAGACAATTTCTAAAGCAACTTCCAGATCTCTAAGTTGTGTTTTTATGATTTTTGTTTTGCACTTTGGTGGACAATGGAAAGAAATGTGGCAGAGTGTAAAGACCTGGAATCATAACATTCAAGTCCAAATGCCAGAATGCCTGCTTACCAGATAACCACAAAATGAGGGAGTTAGAAGGAATGACCTTTAAGGTCCCTCCAAGCTCTGAAGATTTAAAATCCTATGAATTTTTAAAAATAAGACATATATACGCAACTTCCTTTGAATGCGTGACTCTAATTTTGAAGGATGATACATTTTGATTTGCAAATGTGGAAGACTTAAAAAGCCGTAACTTACACAGATCCATGGATGTTTCAGTGCCTCAGATGCGGTGATGCGTTTGGCAGGATTGATAGTAAGCATTTTATTGATAAGGTCTTTGGCTTCAGGAGTCACAGTGTCCCACTCTGGTGATGGAAACTTTAAAAATATAAATTTGCAAAAAGAGAAATCATATGATATTCGATAGAAAGAATATAAAATTCACTAGATTGATATTCTGTGAATTTAATTTTCATGGGTGTGAAATTCATTTATACACACATACATGAAAGAGTGGAGTAACTGATGAACAAAGTCAATATGGGAAAGATATGGCATAATTCTAAAAATGAGAAAATAACCTGAAAACCTAGATCTTAAAATACTGTTTTGCCTTAAAATGGCATTTCATACTAGTTTTCTAGGAAGCCATTTTCAATGTCACAACAGAGATATCTAATGTTCTGTCATTTTATTCATGCAAGGAAAACAGTGATTTCTCCAACTTTCAAAAAATCTACAGGGGAGTAGTTGAATAGAATCACACTTCGAAACTTCATTACTAGCCCATTCCAATACTTAATAATCTAACATGACATTAATTCTTACTTTTGTCTAAACTCTATGTTTAGTCCCTTTTCCCTGGCATGATATTCCGTATTTCTTTTCTTCACTTTCACACAGATAGTTAAATAAAGCGTGGTGCTGTCAAAAGTAGTTGATAGTAGTCTAAGCTGCATTCTAGATACCAAGTTTATGAGCCCATTTAAAGTTGAAAAAAAAATTTAAGCTTATCTAATATAGAAGGCAGTCAATTTTTTCTTATAAATAAAAGTATTCAAATATTAACAAAAAAGCACCCAGATAAAGGTAAAAATTTTAAAAGCCATGCATATAAACATAATCTTCAAATTATATGTTGCTAAAATGTCTTTTAACTTCAACAACAACATAATACAATTGTATCTCTCATCTTATTTGCTTTTCTTTCTTTTATATTTAGTGACCATAACAATATTTTTTCTGCTATCAACTCCTCTTTTTTTTTCCTTTTCCTTTCACACCTAACTGTATCATTCAAGTAGTTAACTAAGATAGCATTACTCCTTTTTTGTTTGTTTGTTTCATTGATTTTTAACTCTGTTTTCAGAAAAGCATGAGATAAGCATCAATTTGACCAATAAATACTGGTTGAATCATCTACATCGATAATCTATGCTTGTGCTCTTCCTTTTACATTTCAGTCTTCAATTCTTCAAATGTATTGGGTGCTCTTGTTTATTGTGAGATGCAAAAGCAAAATGCATTTGTGTCTTTTTTTATGAGAAGCATAATGTTATCTTGAAGTTAATATGTCAATTTTGTTTCTAAAGAGAAATACTTAGCTTTTCTAGGAGAATGCTTTTGGGATTGAGTTCCTTAACTATATTCCAGATTGATCTATTAGTTTTCATTTTTGTGGAAAAAAATCTTATGGAATCATATGCTGTTTTTGATATGTGGTGCCTTTCTCTCTAACTTTTTTGTAGGATCATATCCTTGTCATTGTATGCTTGGAAGATTTATACTGATGTGGCTAGATAAATTAAGTGTAGAGTTCTTTCCTGGTATCCTGTGAATTCTCTTTGTAGGGTGTTAACTAATTTTTAATATTTCTAGGAATATTTTTCTAGGAATATGATTTCCTAAAATACAGTGGAGAGATTATTTCTTTCTTTTTTTTTCACAGTTTTTGAAAGTCCTTGTTCTCTCTGTCAGAAACCTTCTGTCTGTATTGTTTCCAAATCTTTTTTAGATAAGTTATTTTCTGGTCTTGATATTCTGCTTTTAATGTTCTACCTCCAAGTCTATTCTTCAATGAAATAATTCACTGTCCATTTATTCCATTGTTATTTATTTTATTTATATGTATTCCTTATTCACTGAGTTTCATCTTCTTGCCTTATTACTGATATATTAGAATATGTTTTATTGTCTCTTTTAACCTATTATAGAAGATTTGCTTTTATCCTATATAAGTGATTCCAAAGATTTTTGTTTGAAGGTTTGTGGTTGTTTCTGCTCCACTTTGGCATTTCCATTACTTCTTTCGGGAGAAGGTTGAGGAAGCTGACTCTCTTGCAACCTCTCATTCTACCATATCCTTGAATCCTCAGGATGGCTATCCTCACATTCTCAGTATGGCACTGCATTCAGTAAGTCACTTCCTTGTCTACTTTCAGTGATTAAATATCGTTTGATAACTGAACCACTGTCAAAAAAGAAGAAAAAAAAACTCCTGACCTATTCACCATGTAAATTTTCATAAAGGATAGTGCACTCCATCTTGACTCTAGAAGTTTATCTTTAGCAGTTAAATAATGCAGCATTATATGATATAATGAGAAAATAATTTTACATCACAAATCTCAACTAAAAGTAATGTACAATGAAATATTCAGTTCACATATGCATATATAACAAATTCCTGAGTATTGTAATAGAACTGAATTTATTGAGGTTAGGGCAGACTTCTGTCCTTCCCCTCCCCTGTGCCCCCCACAGCTATTACTTTTGCATAAATATTAATTCAGGCTCATGTGATATATTTAAGAAATTACTTCTTTCAGGGTACTCATTTGTACTTCTATAGCCTAAAGGGTCAATATCTTCTTCAATAAGCAATTTATTCCCAGTGTGAATCTACAAATGACTCTCTGAGAGATGTAATACTTGAGGCCCCTGGGGTAGAATGGTAGTTCTGCACATTTCCTAACATGTTAGAATGGGCTCAACACAAACTATATGAGAGGAGAACTTGGTGCACAATTTTTACTTCTTATTCTCCCAAAACTCTTACATTCCTTTCTCTTGCCAAACAGAAGGAAGCATAACTCCTTAGCTATAACAGCAGAGTTTTCATGCTATAAAACTGTCCAGAGAAAATTTAATATAACTCTGTTCCAAAGGAGAAATGTAGAAAAGTTGATTGAAATTACTAAAAGATTTTCATAACACACCTGGAAATGCTTCCCTCCTCTACTCCACACTATAGTGTACCGCACAGGAAACATATAAATGAAGATATTGCTGCTGTTGAACCTTTCTGTTGAAAAAGGGGACAAGATCCCCACATCTATAAGGCAGGGAAAGCATCCCTAATGTACCCTTTTAAGTTTTTAGGTTAGCACTTAAAGTAAGATAAGGTAAAAACCTACAGAACTGAGCATGAATCTACAAGCCAGTACTTATAGAGGTATTTGTCACACGGTAGTGTACCAGTATCATTGATGCAGAGCTCAGAAAGATACAAATTCTTTGAATGCGTAATAATTAAACATCTGCTATATGCAAGGTACTGAAGAAGGGATATAGAGACAAAATGAAAAATTGCATTTTTTGAGGAGGTTATAATCTAATGGAAATTATATGTATGTGTGTGTATGTATATATGTATGCATGCATGTATATGTATATATATACACTTACTAGTATTTAGTATACATTATTTATATTTAGTATACATGTATTTGAATTTTCTAATTCAAATTAAATTAAGTATAGCCACTTAATATTGGATATTAGTGGGCATTCTGTTGAGCTAAAAAAAAATCAAATTGCTGAATTTCAGATTCCATAGTAAATTCAGATGGTGAGGCAATAGTTGCTAGGATATGGTTACAAGATTAGGATAACTAGGCAATAGTTAGATACAATCCAAAATTATGTGACTGATTTGGGAAAAATAATTTACCTGAAAAAACCTGTATGAAATGTAGTCTTCTTTCAATTAAAAATGTGTTTTTTTCAAATGTGTCAAGAGCTAGAGTTTTCACAAAGTCAGGGGCAACCATTTTTCCTTCCAGATTTTAAAAAGTGGCTGTCCTCAGTCATAAGAGACACTTAGTTAGCACAAAATTATATCAGAATAACTGAGATGATGCATTTCTAATTTCATAGGCACCTTTCCCTAACAAAGGGGGAGAAACAGCAAGGCGACCGTCTTGCATCCACAGCTATGGTTACTGTTAGGTTCAACAACAGCCATGATGAAATATGAGAAAGGAAATATAAACTGTTATTAAATAGAAACCAATCCTCAACTGGCTGCTGCAATTAAATTGGTTACATACATCATACGCTCCAGCCTTGATCTGCTGGTAGAGTCTGTGCTGGTCTTCATCCCAGAAAGGAGGGTAACCCACCAGGAGAATATAGAGAATCACACCTGGGAGAAATTAACACAATATTATCATTTGTCATTTGCACAGAGAATATAAAATGAACAGTTAAGTCGAACTGACCCATTAAGCAGCAATACTTAACACTGATACTTTGCTTTTTCTGTCCCCTCCATCAAGAGAAAATAGTTTGTTAGAAAACCTCACAGAGAATCCTAAGATCTACTCTCTAGATCTCAATTGTTGGGAGACAACAATAGAATAGAGTAAAGAACACTTGATTTGGACCCAAAGTTTTTCACCCAATGGTTCTTTCACTTATGCACTATGTGAACTTAGGTTTATATGAACATCACTCAAATTACCTGATTCTCTGTTTTCCCGTATGTAGTAATGCCTGTAGTACCTATCACAGGATTGTGAAAAATAAAGGTGATACTGCATGTGAAGCGCTTTGTTAACCCTAACACACTATATACATGTCAATTATTATCACCTTCCACATGCACAAACACCTCCATTAGGCAGCTGGTGGTACAGTAGATAGATTGCTGGTTCTGGAATCACAAAGATCTGAGTTTAAATTTGACCTCAGATACTTACTAGTGATGAGTTGAGTTGGAAAGGAATGCTCGAGGCAGATGGAGCGAGCAGGATGCAAAATGTGACCAGCCAGAAGAGTGATCAAGGAGACTATGCATTGAAGCCCCCCACCGTGGATTTATCTGTGTGCTTTCACAAAGCACCTCCCAACTACCTGACATTCCAGAACAGCTCTTTCCCTTCCCTTCCCTGTTCCCTTTGCTTATCTGTATGGACTACGTGACATTCCAAAGCAGTGCTCTTCCTCCCTTTCCACTTATCCCGTCAAACTGTACATAGACCTGACACCTAACCTGGCTCAGTACTCTGGCCTCCCATAAGGAAGACAGCCTGCTGGGTACGTCACTCCAATAAATGTCATTGTCTTGGAGGTGGTCTGAGTCAATTCTTTTCAGGACTGACCCTGCGACCTACCCATCTATTCCTCATCATTCTGGTGCACCCCAACATTGTGGGGTACCCATGAACCTCAACACTAGTTACGTGACCCTGAGCAAGTCACTTAACTTCTGTGTTTCAATTTCTTCATCTATAAAATGGAAATAATAATGGCACTTACCTCACAGGGTTGTTAGGAGGCTCAAATGAGATTATATTTGTAAAAAGCACTTAACAGTGCCTGACACATAGTAGGTGCTATATAAATGCTCATTTCCTGTGCCTTTTTTCCTTCTCATTATCTTTCATATGTAAGTATTAAGATTGCCATCATTTTAGAACAGAGGTATCAAACTCAAGGCAAAACTCTCCAAACAGATTAAAAAGTAATTGGGAAATATTTAACAAAATAAATAAAAATACAATGAAACATAGATAATGCTAACTTGGGGTTTCTTAAGTTAATATGCTGCCCTCAGAGACCTGTTTCTATTTGAGTTTGATAGTACTGGTATAGAGATTTTAGTTTGTAAGCTCAGCTATTTATTTTGCCTGCAATAAAGTAAACCACCACTAGGTGAGCGATGATACTCTGGTCTGAGACACTGGTCCACATAGCAAGGTTAAACATCTAAGTCTGGTTAACAGAGGGAGATTAACATGAATTTCACTTCATAATTTATAAAAATAAAACTCATTATTAAAATAGCATAGTGATGTTAAAGAACTATAAAGAACTTTGTAATGTCCAATCTTAATTTTCTTTATGACATTTCTTCTACTAAACCACTATAGTCTAAAATTCTAATAATTCATCTCTCATTAAGTCTCTGATTCCTACTTCTGACCCCATTATCTGCCTCAGGCCCTTAGCTTCCTCACTCATTTGGTCAGTTCTCCATATGGATCTGTTCACTATCAAATGTTCACTCAGGTGAGCATTCTGCCTCAGTTCCCTCTGTCCTCAAATTCCTTGGCTCTTGACAGGATACATCAAAAACAAAACAAAACAAAAAACAAAACAAAAACAAAAACAAACAAAAAAAAAACCCAAAACCCTGTTGTCTGGTTATAGAGAGAAACACCTGTCAGGGGAACCACTAAGGACTGACATGGGGCCTGTAAATATACTCTTGGAAGTCTTGGATATTGTGAAGATAAAGGAACAGGCACCTGTTTGAGACCATACCATTGGAGGCTGAATAACAGCTTACTGACATCTGGCAGGTGATGTCAATAAATCTCTCCTTTCCCTCCTGGAAAATTTTTTTTCACTATTAGGGAATTGGTTGAAGCAGTTACATGAAGAATGGATTAGGGAAAGTTGGTTCTGGCCACACAGGGATCAGTTAACAGGATTGTTTATGTATGTAAGATATAGTTAACTTTTATTATTGGAGCAGTGTGTATCTTGTAACACTACCACTGGGGTGGCAGGGGAGAGAGGAACGGATGTTTCAGAGCGGGGTCTGATGCATCAAAGATTGTGATTACAATGTAAGTTAGTCTAATAATTTCATTCTGAAGAAAGTTTGGCCGGAGAGATTAAGTTACTTATGGTAGGTCACCAATAAATAAGAGAGCTGAGATTTGCACATAGGCTCACTGACTTCAAATTCACATGCTCTTTCCATGTTGCCCTTCTGTCTCACAGCTGTGAGCTTTTAACCTAAGGTCATATTCAGAAGCTTAACCTAATATAATACAAAGAGATGGTAACACAGTGTCATGGGGCCAGGAAGACCTGGGCTCCCACAGCCAGCTGTGTGACTATAACCAAATCACTTACACTTTCAGTACCCCAAGTAATTCTGTAAGACTACACATTATAGAAAAATTGCTGATTTGTATCCACTGAAAGTTAGTTTCTAGACGGGGAGTTCTCCATACCAATGATACCACTAATTCACACCAAAAACAACTACAAAATAAAAGCTAACATAACCTTATATCCTCATATGTACTGTTTAGGGAAGATTTAAAAAAGGCAAAAAAATATATATATATTTCTATATAGCAGCACCATGGAACAAATACAGAGCTACCCTTGAAGCCAACAAAGCTTGGGTGAAAATCTTACTTCTGACACAAGATGGCTTTGTGACCATAGGGAAGTCTAAGTCTAAGAGTTGCAGAAAAGGTGCCAACCTGCGCTTTTAAATGTAGTTTCCTCATCTGGGCCCTCCTTATGTCAAGTGATAAAAGATTCAGTCTTTATCCATGTCCACATAATTTTCTTCTCCAAGGTTATACATCATCTACTCTGAATGTATCTGGAATGTGCCTCGTTATTTATGTCATCTCTCCCCAAAGCTCCTTGAACACAGGGATTGTTTTATCCCCAGTGTTTAGAGCAGTGCATGGTACGTAATAATCATTTATTAAATATTCATTTTATTGTATTATATTGTAGCATCTTATACTGCATTGTACTGAAGGTACATAAATATATTTAGACATTTCATATATATATTTAGACATACATACCTGTTAAATACACATTATGTATATATACATATTAAATACTATATTATATATAGTATAACATATAAAATGTTATATAATGCAAAATGCATGTATATGTGCATATATATATACTCACCTTCATATATATTAATATATACATATATTTCCACATACATGATTTGTATTTATTTATAGGAAATATAGCAGTGCCCCCAAAATTCATCAGTAACAGTCTATCATGATGTCAGCACATTTCTTATGCTTGTTATATACAAATTTGTGTTCTATATAGCTGTCATATTTCACAAATGGAAGATTTGAGAATCTCTAAAAAAATTACTACTGTTAACTTGGTGTGAGCCAAAACACATACTTCACTGGAAGTCCCATGAAAAGTTACAAAGGCTTGTCTGCAAAAATGAACTCCAGATAGGGTTTTTCAAAAGGCCCATGACATGACAAAATGAGGTTCAGCTATTGGGAGAACTCCACCTGAACAAGGAAGTGAGTAAGCAGAGCACAGAGCAGGTGAGGAGGCCACTGTGTGAATGTCAGAATTCTAGTGGAATGCCTGGGGTCAGCCTTTTATCTCTAGGTTGGACTTGCTCTCATTTGAAAAAAAAAAACCATCCATCCATTGAGTTGTATTTTTAAGTTTTGTTTTTCTTTGTTTCTGTGGTTCAGAATGGAAAAGTTCTGTTTATGACATTTTGGAACTTTGAAAACAATTCACAAAGTCATCACAGAACTGTCAAACAACATAAAAAAATACACAAACTAAGAAACTAAGAGAGTGCAGCATAAAAGCTCATCTGCATATCACAGCAATATGATCAACACCACAGTTTAGGAAAATTTTTCTAAAAAAAAAGGATCTCTTGGTAAGACAAAAGAACCTCAAAATACTTAACCTGGTTTTAAATCACAGCATGATGCTCAATCTTATAGCGTGACAAATACCAATGAGTAGAAAAGAAAAACAGTCTGACTATATGAAAAGATTATTTCTTTGTTATTGTTTTTAAAGGAAAAGATCTTAAGACTGAGAGATAATGTTTCTTCTTGAGACTGTTTTTTGAATGTTGAACAGTTAGTACTTTTGCAACGCAAGCATAAGGAATTTTTATCTCCCCTATACCTTTAAAGTTTTTTTTTAACTTGTTCTGAACTTGACAAACAGCAGTGGACAGACATTTCCATACGTAAAGAAGTATTCCATATACAAAAGAGTATTGTATACGAAACTGGGAATTTCATTATCTACAGCTTGTTTTTAAAACATACTCAATTCATCCATTCCAAAGCTGTCTTGTCTGTCTTGCTCTGAAATTCCTTCTGATTTTGTTATGCACTCTCTTTAAATACTTCATCAATGTGTTTTTTAAAATGCCACCCTTTGTTTGCTTTTTTTGGCATCACTATCATGATCTCTCTGCCTCCCTCCTCCTCAAAACCTTTTCCCACAACAATGTACAAAGAAGCAAAACAAATCCATACATTGCCCATATGTGAAAATGGGTATCTCATTCTTCACCTCTAGTCCATCAAATTTCATTATGGATCATCCTTGGTCTTCTGGTCAGTCATTGCATTTATTAGAATTCTTAAGTCTTTTAAAGTTGTTTTTCTTTATAATGTAACTATAAAAATTTTCCCTGTTTCTGATCCCTTTACTCTGCATCAGTTCACACAAATTTTTCAAGGTTCCTTTGAACTCATACCTTTTTGTCATTTCTTATGGCACAAAAATGTTTCAATACATTCATATACCATAATTTGTTCAGCCACTGCCTGCTGTTGGGCTTAGTTTCCAGTTCTTTGCTACCATAAAAATACTAAGAACATTTTTATTCATAAGAATCCTTTTCCTCTTTCTGTTATCAGCAAGTTAAATGATATAAACTTGGTGATATTTTGGACATAGTTACAAACTGCTTTTGATAATAGTCACACAAATTCAGAGCTCTACTTACAGTGGATTTCAGTGTGTCTATCCTCCCACATAATTTCAAATAATTAGAATTTTCCTCTTTTGTCTGTGTGATATTTTACCATCCTAATGGGTATAGGGTGGGATGACAAAGTACCTTTCATTTTCATTTTTCACATTCCTGGTTTGGAAAAAATTTATTTGGTTACTGATAGCTTGCCTTTCTTTCTTTCTTTCTTTCTTTCTTTCTTTCTTTCTTTCTTTCTTTCTTTCTTTCTTTCTTCCTTCCTTCCAACTGCCTGCTCATATTTTTTGATCATTTATCTATTGAGGAATGATTCTTATCCTTATAAATTTATTTGATTCTTTACATATCTTGAATATAAATTCCTCATGAGAGAAATTTGCTACAAAAATCCCCCTCATGTTAACCACTTTTCTTCTAATTTTAATTGCATTGACTTTGTACAAAACCTTTTCAATTTTACAACCAACTTATCCATTTTATGTCTTATGATCATCTCTATCCCCTGTTTGGTTAAGAACACCTTCCCTAAGCATAATTTTGAAAAGGAACTTTTCTGTTCTTCCAATCTGTTTATGATATGACTTGTAAAATGTAAGTCATATATCCATTTGGAGATGGCATATACTGTGAGATATTGCTCTATACCTAATTTTTGTCAGACTGTTTTCTAATTTTCTCATCAGTTTTGTTGAATAGTGACTTCTTAACCCTAAAATTATGGTCTTTGCATTTATTAAACAATATGCTACCATGTTCAATTGTTGTTTTGTTCCTAATCTGAATCACCAATCAAACATTCTATTTTTTTTTAAACCATTGCCAAATAGTTTTAGTGATTATGGCTTGGTAGCACAGTTTAGATTGGGTACTCCATGGCCTTCTTCCTTTCCTTTTTTTTCTATTACATTCCTTTAATCCTTTTACAACAATCTTTTATTAATCATAATTTTTATTACATTATAGTCAGTTAAAAATTGAGTTTAATGTTTTTACATTTCTAGATTTCAATTTTTGTAAAGGTGTCATAAACAGCTGTGAAATACATGTACTCCTTTCTATTTCCATTCAGTAATTATGAAAGATCTATCATATCTAAATTTTCTAAGATTCTATTCAGATACTTTTCTTATGTTTA